AATCAATTAAACCTTACCTAAATTAGGTTTAATTAACCTTAATCTAATTAGACTTAACCACAAATAAGTCTAATTAATCAATTAAACATTACTTAAATTAGGTTTAATTAACCTTAACCTAATTAGACTTAACCCATATTAAGTCTAATTAATCAATTAAACCTTACCAAAATTAGGCCTAACCCTAACTAGTTTAATCAATCTAAAGAAAACCTAATTTGAGTTCAGCTTAATTTGAACTCAAGTTAACCCAAACATTAGGTTCAACCCACATTGAACGTAACTTAACCAAAACTTAACTTGAGTTTAACTTAACTTAAACTCAAGTTAACCCAAACATTAGGTTCAACCCACATTGAACCTAACTTAACCAAAACTTAACTTGAGTTTAACCTAACTTAAACTCAAGTTAACCCAAACATTAGGTTCAACCTAAATCAACTTCAAACTTAAGTTCAACCCATATTGGACTTAAGTCAAACCTATAACTTAGGTTCAACCCAACCTGAATCTAAGTCAACCAAACTCTAGGTTCAACATATATTGAACCTAAATCAAACCATAAATTTAGGTTCAATTCAAATTGAACTTAGATCAACATGAACTTTAGGTTCAATCAAAATTGAACCTAACTCAACTCAACCCTTAAAGTCCTAACTACATTGGATTTAAAACCAATTCAACCCTTAGGTTCTACCTACATCGAACATAAATACCTTAAGTCCTAACTACATTAGACTTAAAACCAATTCAACCCTTAGGTTCTACCTACATTGAACTTAAATACCTTAATTCCTAACTACATTGGAATTAAAATCATATTAAACCTAAATCCTTTAATTGACATGTGACCTAAAGAAAAAAAAAAAACAATACAACTTACCAACATAATTGACATAAAATTGATCTTAAAAGACATTAAAACTTAAACTTGAACTTTAATGAACAAAGATCACCAAAAATAACTTAAACATATCTGTTCAGATTTACGAAGATTTCTTGGACGACGCAATCTATGGTTGCTGACAATGATCTTCCGGTCCTAGTTTAAATACTTTTCGGACTAAGTAAATCTGAATACTTTATGGCCCCGAGACGACAGAGCCATAGACATTTTGACTGGGTCGTTTAAGAATTATTCAACCAATGACCAACTAAAATTGATAAATCTGACAACATAATTTTATGCTAATCATGTTCTCTGTTGCAGATTTATTGGAGATATGAAAACAAAATTTTGCTCTAGATTTCCTTTGCATTTTATAGGGTGTGCTAACTTTGTTTTACAGGACGGTATTCGAAAGCGGAATTTCAAGATAACAAAACCAGACAAAAACAGACAAAACAAAATGAAATGACATAAACAAAATGACATGACATAAAAAAAAACTTAAAACTTTTAGGATAATGACAAAACCTAAAACTTTTAGAACAATGACAAAACCTAAAACTTTTAGGATAATGACAAAACCTAAAACTTTTAGAACAATGACAAAACCTAAAACTTTTAGGATAATGACAAAACCTAAAACTCTTAGGACAATGACAAATCCTAACACTTTTAGGACAGTGACAAAACCTAAAACTTTTAGGACTGACAAAAAACTTTCAGGATAGTGACAAAACCTAGAATTTTTAGGATAATCATAAAATTAAATTCCGACACACATTGACATTTTCTTGAGATTGAACAATTAATATTCATCTCTTCAAAATGAATGTTTGACGTTAATCAAGAGTATTCTTAGATAATCATCTAGAATGTAATTAACTATAGGAGCTTGCTCGTATAGAACATTTAAAAGACCCAAACAAAACCTCTGGTTACAAAATTTTCTTGGAAAACTTTAGTAATGACATATTCTAAAGATTTCCATTATAAGTCTATCACCTAATGTTTTCTTTCTCTATCTTCTATTATTCTTAGTCCTCCCCTCTTCATTTTTTGAATTTCTTGAAATTCTGAGGAATTTTGACACAATCCAAATAGAATAAGTCATTCAGAAATTAGGGCAAAGAAATAGATAAGATAGAGATTTGGCGACTCCTCAAAAAGACAATATCACAGACGACACACACCCCTCTTGGCCAGGTGATCCGACCCGCTGGGGGGTGCTCCGATCGCACCACCCACAAACTATCTGAAGTGAGACATTGCATCAGATAGGTACAGAAAATTTTTGTGAAAGAATATTATGCATTACTACTAAAATTCAGTACTAATAACCCTTGGGGCATTTAATGAAAACAAATTGTAAGAATGGTTACAAATCATCTTTGACATCATCTTTATGCTCAGCGCTAGGAGGCATGTATAGTTGTGGTATGTTTGAGCATGCTCATTCAAACATAATATGAAACTTTATGCTAAAAAATCATTTTTTATCACACAAACACTGGTAAGAGCATCGCAGAAAAGTTTGTCTTCTTCTGGTTGACAGATAGTCCGACGGGTTTCACTGCCAACGGTGATTGAGAATGGATACCATTATTGAAGAAGAATGTAGCATGAGACATGTACCGTCTGTTATTAAAAATAATATAATTATTATATTAACTGTAATTTTAATAGTTTTTTTATTTTTTTTACACTTTCTGTACTCAATGTTAAGTGAGACATGTATCTAAATTTTTATACTGTTTTAAAGTGAATTTCTACTTTTTAATTATCAAATACATGACTATAATAAGTTTGTTAATAAAATATTACTAAAGAGGGACAAAATATCATCTCTCCAAAAACAACTTACTCAAAACTATATTCAAATAATTGAAAAAAACCGTAGCGGCTACAGCTACCCAAACACACCCTTTGTGTATAGATCCGCTCAAGCCTCAATCCATAACATAACTCGATTCGGCTCGATTACAATCCTGTGAATCAGCAATGGGCAGGAAAGCTGAGATGGTGGAGCTGGCCGGCGATCCCGAGTTGGAGGAGAAGAAGAGACTGAGAACCCTAGCCGTCTCGAAAAAAATCCTCCGCCGCTCGCCGGCGAACGTCTCTGTCCCTCTCGAGCCTTCCAAGGCCATTGTCAAGCTTCAGGGCCGGGACATAGTGAAACGTGGCCAACGAAAAAGCCGTTATCTCTTCTCTTTTCCGGGTCTCATCGCCCCGCTCTCCGGCGGAAAGATTGGCGTTCTCTCGAACCTCGCTACCAAGAATCCTGTCCTCTACCTTGAGTTCCCGCAGGTAGTTGTCTGTTTAGCTCTAGAAACTCCCTTCTTCCTTTTTTGCTGGGGTTTTTTTTGGAGATATTTTGAATTTTCTCGATTTTTGTGATTTAGGGCCGGATGAAGCTTTTTGGTACTCATGTTTATCCGAAGAACAAGTACCTAACGCTGCAGCCCACTAAATCTGCGAAAGGAGTAATGTGCGAGGATGTTTTTGAGAGCTTGGTAGTAGCTTCTGACTTGAGCTTTATTTTTATGAAAAAATGGTTTGTCTAGTATGCGAGGTGGTTATTTGGTCGGGTATGATGAATTGAAAATGAAAAAAAAATGGAGTTTAGGGTTTTGTGAAATGGACTGGAATGGTAAGCTTCTTGACTGACGAGGTTGCGTAGGCTACAGAATCAGGGTGGATTTAATGAAACCGGATTTACTAAATACTACTGATGCTAAATCCTTACTACAGCCAAACACATATATGGGAGAATCTTAAAGTTATTATGGTGCAGCTGACTTTCTAAGGTAGAAATTCTAAAATCCCAAAACTGTTCAATCCCAAAGCTGAAACCTTAGAAACTCAGCTGCACCATAAGAACTTTGAGATTCTCCCATTCTGATTGACATTGCATGTGTCCTGCTCCATCCATTCTCTACTTAATTAGTGAGAACCATCTCAATCAATCTTTTCTCATTTTATTGTCAATAACTCTTGCTCCCACAATTTAAATTTTATTGTACTTATCTTAAGACGAACTTTTGTTAGATTTGATCCCAAGCCATCTTCATCCCAATCCATTTTCGTATTAATGACCTGTATTTCTTCAACATTACGAAGAAACTTGTATAAAATGATATTGAATGGAGACATGAAGCGTAGTCCTGTGCCTAAGCTTTTCTTTTGTTTAACTAGTACTTTTGCTATGATGTGTAACACTGCTTTTCCTATTTCCTAAAGCCAACATTTAGGAGCTGGATGCCTCCAAAGTTTTTTTCTTCCTATTTACTTGTGAACTATGCACTAAGGTTATTTGCTTTCCTTACTTCTGCATAACCTTTTCATTATTCTAGTTATTTTTGCCCAGCTGTATAATTTAATTATTTTCCTGTAGATCGTCTTTTCTGATGCTTGGTGGATTGGGAAGAAGGAGGAAAATCCTGAAGAATACCAGCTTGAGTATCCCAAGGATTTAAACGAGGTTTGCTTGTTAACTGTTTCCTTTTTTTATTCATAGAACTGTTTTTTTTCCTTAATATGTTATTGTTGTATCAGGGAAAGGATTCTGATTATGATTTCAAGGGTGGTGCTGGGGCAACATATGATGAGGCATCTGCTGCTCAAAAAAGTTCGAAGGAAGAGCCGCCTTCTCCTGGCAATGAATCGGAGTCTGATGGATCTGATGATTTTTGTAATCTCTTTGACAAAGATGTAAAGAAGTCAATTGAAACAACTCCTCTTCGGCAGTCTGCAAGGACATCAAGACAAACATTGAAGTATGAGATTTTTATTAGTTTTTTTGTATGCATGCATGTATGTGTTCCTGTGTGTGTATATATTTTTGGTACTACAATGCATGCTTTAAATCAAGGCATGTTTGAAATTGAATCTTCTTTTTGTTATCGATCATCGTTATTATCGTCATCATTTTCCTTGAAATAATGTTTGGGATTGCCTCTATTAAACATTCTTTTTCAATTATTTATGTTGTGCAACATTAAATTTTAGTTTCTGTGTGTTCAAGTAAGTAAACACAATATCCCGCCAAGTAGATTTCGGTAGACTTATTGTTGGGGTTGGCCATATAAACCCTTCACCTATTATTTGCGTACATGTAAATTTTTTTTTCTTGCCAAAACTGTATATTCTATTTTAATATTGTGTTTATTTTTGTGTTGTTCTTAAGTTGAGATGTGATGTTGAAGTTATAGCTACTGCTCAGTTTCCATTAGATTGTCAAAACTGTTTTTGTATAATGATTGTATTGTAGCTATATAACAAAAGAGTATTAAGAAGTCCTTTTTTTTTCTTTTTTTATTCTGCACTTTTTTCCCCTCCAATGTGCTACGTGTTCAACCCCAGTTAAGATGTCTATTGTTCATATAAGATCCAATACAACTCAATTCTTATTTTTTCTATTGGTAATTGTAATCTGTCTTTTTTCTTTTATATTCATTATTGTATTGTGATCTGAACGTTGACCTATATCACTGCCTTCAGCTGTATCAACAAAATTTATGCTTTCATTTTTTGCAAAACATGGTTAAAATTTTCAAACAAATGTTCACCTTGTTTTATTAAGCTTGAATAATAAGCTTAACATAATGATTGTAATCCAATTGTTCAAAAAAAGTTTATAAGAATCTTTTTTAATTTCATATATTTCATTTTTTGTTGGATATTCAAAAAGCTGATATATTTTTTGGTCTCATTTTATGTTTTTATTGGGATATCTATCAATTTTTTTTATGGCATAGCACATGCTTTGATATTTGCTGAGAGTAGAATGCATAGCTACCATGTAACTTTGTAACTTTTCTATAATTCAGCATACATGGCTGATTTTTTGTAATGAATAATGAACAAAATGGTCCCTAGAATATTTAAGCGTGTTTTTTTGAATCTCACATTTTTCAGGGGTTTAATCAATCTAGTCTCTCAACGTACTAAGTTTGAACTGATTTTGGCCTTATTACTTTGCTGTTTCATTGGACTAAACTTAGTGGAGCGAAGCTTTATATGAGCTATTTTTGACATTTTAGGTTTAATCTATTACTTTATGATAGTATTAAATAGTGAGATTGACCATAAAAGGTACATATTTCTCTAAAGTAAATCTTCTTTTCACTATTTTTTTCTAAAGCAATGTTTAAAATTGTACAATTGGGTATTAAGTTGTTTTCTTTTCATGAAGCGAGTCTAAGCCGTAAGCCTCGCAGTTTGAAATTGTATGTAAAAATAATGGGATAAAAATAATTCATTAAAATCATAACTTATGTTTATATTAAAGAAAAACATTAACATTCTAGCATGGTAAGAAGTTACGTTTTGTTTTTATTATGTAACATTTTTCTCAAAATTAAAATATAACATAAACATCAATTGATTAAATCACCAAACTAATATAAAACATGAAATGAAAGTAACATAAAAATATCAAAATAAGACATAAGATGAGTTTAGCATAGTCGATTTCTCTCACTCTTATGCCCAACATAAAAATTTCTATAGATCTAAATAACTATCTTAAAAATAACAAAAATTGGAGCAACATGCAATAGCATAAACAATTGGCTGTGGCGACAACAACAAAAGCAGACGATCGTGAAGGTGACAACTACTGTAGGAGGAGCAACAAGCAGACATAGCAGAAGCAAAAGGCGACAACAAGCAACAAGTAGCATGCAACGATGCTAGGAAGCTTCACCGGTGAGAGGGAACCTCTTGCGCTTGAGAGTGTGGCTTCGGTTCATATTTGAATCGTCTAATATATGGAGAAAAACCTAAGTGTCAGAGGGGCATGCCATAGTAGAATTGAGGTAAGACACCTCTCAAGGTGCGTCTCAACCAATATGAGGCGACCTTTCCCTGGACCTGCTCAAGGTGTGCGCCTTGAAGCATTTTTTCTTCAATATTGCGACGAGGCGGTTGATGGCCGAAAACTTGCGGCAAAGTAAGTCGGTCAATCACTCAAGCATATGTGTTAAGTAATATGTGGTTTAAGAGTCTACGTATTGATCCCACGAGGAAAGAGTTAAGAATTATTCTTAACAGACAATCTCTAGTTTGTTAACTTCATAAACTTAGCTTGGCATGACTATAATAGGGGGTTGAAATCCTAAAAATTATAACAGAAAACAAGGCGATCATAGAAAGCTGAAAAAGTTATGGTTTTCTTCAAGAGTGTTGAGGCTTGTGCTCTTGTGATTCGGGTATCGTGGAGGCTTGTGGTTTTTCCTTTATGTTTTTCTACGTGATACCAGATATATGTTTCTTCTTTTGTCTATGCCTAGGTCAAAAGAAGAATAAAACTTATAAAGTTAATTTTTGCTTAACCCCTTGAAGTTTCCCAGGATTCTTTTGATCCTCGATCAAGGTTGTCTGTCTTCTCAGGATTTTGCAGTTAACCTATTCGTTCTATCATGCTATTCGTTCTATCATGCAACGGGCAGATTCCATGGATCACAAAAAAAATTATTATCTTAATTAGTCAGACTAGAAGTAAATAAAATTCAAAAGGTTAACCAACAACTTAAAACCATAAAAACATGAAAAAAGCTACATGAAAACATCTAAAAAAATTATGATAAAACCACCACATGATAAAACCACCAACCTTATATCACAAAGACACGAAAGAGAATTTAATCATAGTAGGGAAAATTATAGACAAAAAAGTCATGTAGATCATTATTGCAAGAAACAAAGAGTTGCAAAACTTACAATCAAGACTTGTTCTCTCCACTATGGTAGAAGACTTTTCTCTCATACAAAATTCTCAAAGAAAACACAAGAAGAAAGAGGAAACAAATATGTAAAAACACCCCCTAGAAGTTTCAGCCCAAATAGAAGAAGAAACCTTTATAGGAGAACTCTTTCTTACCAGAATCCTTATTCTCTTATAGTCTCTAGTCTGGTGTGATTTTTCTCATTCCATTTTTTTCTTCGTCGATCGTTCTCTTGTTTGATATATATATATATATATATATAGACACACACACATACACACAGATCTAGTGTGCACATTTCTCTTAAGAATTCTGAATGCCTATCCTAAATGATAATTCTCAATTATTTTTAATGTGAACTCGAAATATGAAATATTCTAACATGTGTCCTCATTTTACAGTGTAAATTTTTTCAAGGCAAGTTAACATGTATAGCTCCCTCACCTTTTTATCCCATGCATGACAGGAAAAATTGCATGCAAGGACAAGAGCATAGCATGCAATAACAAAAATTGATACCAGATAATCTAATATGATAAGATATCAGAACATGGAGATCACTACATGTAAATAATTCCCTCGGGTTAGAATCCATGAAATTCATATGATTCATGCATAAATTACTCAACCGAAAAATACTCAAACAAATTTAAATGAAATTTAAAGCAAATTTTAAAGCAAATTTTAGAATAAATTTCAAAACAAATGCAAAAGTAAAAACTTGCTCAACGCATTTGATAACGCTTGAGCTGCCTTCCAAGATAGTGCTTGGTTTAATGTTCTTAACCTGAACAAAAAAATCTCGCTTCAGGATCAAAATTTCAATTTAGTAATTTTCGATCAATCACCCAATACTTGTTTGCCCTGGAGTTCTTATTAAAATTTTATTTTTCAGTTTTTCTCACTTCTCCCTCTCTATTAAATAACAGTTTTCTAGAGGTTATTTAGGGGGTTTTTCAGATTATCATTCATAAATTTATTTTTCTATATCCAGAATTCTCCCAATTAATTCCCCTACTTGAAGATCATTATTTTTCCTATTAGTTGCAAGAAATGGATCCCTAAAATTTAAATCCGGGTTTCCTAAATTTAGGATTGGGTTCTTCGTGGTTTCTTCAGGTCGAGTTCTAACTCTAATGGGTTACTCTCCTGCATAGGTCTATCCTCCATCTTTCCCATGGGGAACTCCTATGGGTGGCTTTATTGGCTTATTTATCTCCCTCACAATGCAAGGGAGTGCCTTTAAAAAAGTGCACATTTTTTCGTAGTTATTGTCCAACCAAAATCATCCAACTCTGTCTGCTCTTCAGGAACCAACAATTCAGATTCATATTTATAGCTATCCACTACCCCTGACATTTTTTGGGTTTCTAGGCTTACTACTCAACAATTCATTCAAATTCTCATTTTCTTTAGGGTAGTCACTATCCTGGTTATTTTAATATTCTACAGGATTGCTTTGAGGGCTCCACCACTGTTGGTTTTCTACACTTGGGTTATTATTAGTTCAATTGATGTTTTGGTAAATTGACCAACTTGAGTTGTAGGTGTTGTAGTATGGGTCACCAAACTTGGTTCATGTGGCAGGGTGTTCAAAACTCATGTGACTGCTCGCCGTCAATGGGTTGCCATGCACTTTGAAAATGTATAAACTGGTTTTCCTGAAGGTTTGCTACGGAGTGTTCAAAATTCATGTGAAAGTTAGCCATCAATGGGTTGCATACTCCTGAAAATGTATAAATTGATTTTCCTGAGAGTTTACCATTTTGAAGTGTTGAAAACATTTTTTTTTTCGAAAAATAAGTAGATGCAAGAACAAAATAAAACATAACTTAAAATAAACAGGAAAACATCGTGTCAAACCTATATTCTAAGGGGCTGTTTGGGATCATTTTTTTTATTTTTGTTTTTGAAAAATAAATAGAAAAGAGACAAGAAAAATAGTGTTTGGTCATCTGTTTTTTATTGTATTTCTATTTTTTATTTTTTTGAGGAACACTTTTGTTTTTAAAATATTCAAAACAGAAAAAAACATGTTTTTGCCTTGT